TCAATTCATTCAATTTGCGTGCGTTTATAGCAATAGTATATATAAACTTTGTTTATCAAAAAGTATTTAATATCAGGTTTAAATGAAGGATATTGAGCCAAAAAGTGCTTAATCCTGAGTTCAGATGTTGCAAACCATGACAGGAATGATTACTATAAATATGATTGAACGCCGCAATCAATAAATGCCTGATATGACTATAAGCATGAAGTAGGGGCTAATGCCTTCTATTAAACTGATAAATTCCATTAAAGGTTCCACAATTTTATAGGAATTGGATTGCGCGATTAACTAAAAATATCGTTTTTTTAGCACGAATACCTGGGTGAGAGTTAATTGGTCCGCCACGTCGTTAATAATAGTTTTGGCTCGATCAGCTTTAGACTTCGCTCTTGGGATAAAAATCAAACCTGCCAACCATGCCGCAAATCCCATTGGCCATACCCAGAAAACTGCATTTCGGGCAATTACAGTGCATTTACCCATTTTAGGCCATATTTGAAATAATCCTGGTATTACAAAACATGTTTTTTCAATTTTAATACATCTACTTAGAGAGAGACTTGCATACCTAAAACATCTAAAGAACTTTGATGATTCGAAACAATAATGCATGGTTCATCTGATTCCAAGTAATCAGGATTTTGAATTATCCACTTTACTCCTATTAAATGGGTGATCCAACGGAAACAGTGTGATCCTATACTAGAAACAATAATACAACAATTGTTCAATAATTTTATATTTTATAAAAAAACGGCTTTTTTATAAACTCGCTTAGAAAATAATGAACTTTTTCTGAAATTAAGTGAATGCATGAATAAATACTTACACAAAGTTATGAACACTAAACGGATGGAAAATGAACACTGGTATTAAAAACAATGAGCCCACCATCACTATCCCGTAATAAGCAGAAAACTTTAGATAATATCTAACGACCGGACTGGCCTTAATCAACCAGACCAATCCGACAAAGGACGAAAAAAGAATTAACTGAAGATAAACAGTCATCTCGGAAGGTTTTTCTGCCAGATATGCGTTTACTTACTGTGTTCATGATAATGTTATTTTAAAAGGAGTTGAATTTGGGTCTAATATGCTTTATTGATATGATATCTACCCAACTGATTATTTTTATACTTGATTATCAGCAGGCAATTTAACGATTTTAGTATTTGACAACAATAAACACCCGCTCCTGCCTATGGTAAATTTAGGTATGGCTTGTTCCTGATTATGGAAAACGAAAGTCGATCGCACGCTTTTTTAAAAAAGGTTATCTAGTTCGTTATATGTCCAATACACAAAGTATTTTTTTACACTTTTATATATTTTTATTAATTGTGCTCTTTCTTGTATTTCATATATTTTCTTATATATATTATTCAAAACCAATGCAATAGACAATTGCAAATTATTCTAGACTCATTGATTTTAGTTCACTTGCTTATCAATTTTCAGCTGCTCCAGCGATGTTAACCAGAAAAAACAAAAAATACACTCAACTCAAAATCTAGAGATCGACAATAGTTTGCGGATGAAGATAAATGTTGCAAGTGTTTGGTTTTAGTGGCCGGTTTTAGTGCACCAAATTACTCGAAACTCAAATTCCAATGTCGCAAAATAAAAAGTTTATTTTCAAAAGTAGGAACGAAGCCGAATCTATGAACCGAGTAGAAGAAACTTTTCCATTTACAAAATTCCAACTTTGTCGACTAATTTGATTAGCTAGCGAGTAGCTAAGATAAACTAACTTTTCTTTATAATTATACTTTTCAATATAAAAAATATCTATAATTCGCAAACGTCTCCATTGTTAGTGAGAAGTGCTTCCTTCAAATATATTTCCTACACCCTTAACAACCCCAGACAATCCAATTCAAAGAATTAACGCCCGTTTTGATTTATCACCCTGTATTAAACTTTTATATTGTAAGAAATGTATTCAACAACACATGATAAATTGCGTTCAAACTAAAGTGACCTGTATTTCATGCATTTCTTCATAGTTTTCATCACTTTCTCTGATAGTTTCCGGGTATTTGGGCTTATTTGCGCGATGTTTGCCTTTGTCGGAACAATCGGGACCGGAAGGTTTCTCATAATCGGGAAAATACGTATTAGTATCGACTGATCTGCTCGTTTCGTGAACAGCTCCAAATCGCTCAGAAGTGGATCCAATCTGATCTGTTTGGCCATCAAGCTCAGCTTCGAACATATCAGGGCTCCCTAGCAGTTTCGTTTCTAAAACAGGACTTTGTAATAACCAAATTTCGTCCAATGTTCCTGAAGGAGTTGCACCTGGATTTTCTAAAACATATTCGTCTTCTTCCGCATGGTTCATCTTTAGAGCGTAGGTTTGATCGAATTTCTCCCAATCGGCATCGTAGCAATTCACGTATTTATTATACGATATGATTGGTGCAAACTTATGATCCCAGAGAATTTCGCTTGATAAATAGCTGGATTTTGCCTCAATGGAAACTCCTTCAAAGGCAATGTGAGAAAATTAGTTTTTGGGGTTTAGGAGCACTTACCAGTACTTTCCACCGTTCCGTTAAGGACTACAATTATTTCAACTTTCTGGCACTTCATTATTTCGGGCACTGTAAAGTCGTATAGTGGGGAGTTCTCGTCGATTTCGTGGTAGAGAATTAACGGCCATAACAAAATAATACTACTGGGTCCATCATCACACTTTAAAGATAATTCTGAAACGCAGAAATGCGCCTCGATTAAGAGACCCGAGTGGAGCAAGGAAAAAACATAAATGCGTGCAGCAGAAACAGACGACGCAGGTTCTAACACACTGATCCTCTTTTTCAGAAACTCATTTTGTCCCTTTCTACCACACACATTGGGCAAACTGCCTTGTTTCGCTCAAAGCGTTTACCACTGGTTATTTATGCTACCTGTTTGATAGTTTTGAAGAACTTCTCCTTCCTGCGAGCGCTCACACTTAACAACAATCGCTCTTACTGCTACCCCTGCCAGCCGACTCTTCTTGATATCGCCAACTCTGAACATAAAGCACAATTTTCCATTCCTGTGAGAAAGAACGGCATTTTTGGAAAACTGAACTGTGTGCGATGCGTGCTTGGCGCGGACCAATTTAGCAAAAACTATACCTAAAAAATTCTCATTTATCTAAGTGAATTATATAGAGTTTTGGATGACGCACTGATTGCAAATGAGTCCAAAGTTATGCCGATTAAGCACTGGCAAACCAGAACGAAAATTGCCTCCGGACATTCTTCTGTAATTACTCTTAGGCCATATCCTGTGGTGTGCTGAGTTTCTATTGAGTAGAGGAAGGCAGAATGGAATCCGTGGATATTGAGAACGCAAGGTGTCCAACCTGAATGGATTGTATATGAATATTATGCTGATAATTTAAGTGCTTTATTACCGATTTCGGCTTGGCGTAGCGGTAAATGATCATCATGTAAATCTCCATGCACAAAGGCGATTAACCACCAAACCAGCGCAAAGATCAGCCAGCACCCGAAAAATTCTAGAACTGAAAACGCGCGCATTATTGAGCAGATGGTCGAAGCTAGAGCTTACCTAGGAACTGGAGCGTCCACCTCCATTGGGCGTCCAACAGGGTTGTGAAGATATCTTGCAAATATCTCCACCATCGAATCTTGGAAATATTTTTCCTGTAGACGTTTTTGTGTCCATCTTTCAAAATCGCTCGCTTTGGACATTTTCGGGATTTCCACGGGATCCATGTTTTTCTAGTAAAATATTATATTTTATTTCTCCAGTTGATTTACCTGCGTAAATTCTCGCTTTACCTGCGTGCCTGCTCAGCTTTTTGAGAAAACCACTCAACATCCCAGATAGTCATGGTCTCATCACTATTTCAATGCGCACTGAATGTTTCTGATGTAAAACTTTTATATTATAAAATATTAATTGACTAACAACTACATCCTCCAATTTTGAGGAAATTACCTTTGCACTCATAAACTTGCACTCATTGTCGTGGGCAGTGAGTGTATATCGAGTAAATATTTGCGCTTGAAACGAGTTGCCGCCGTAAATCTTCAAAGCTTCAAACCATCTGAAAATTTCACCGCTTTGATAGAATAACTACGATAATCTGCCAATTTGAGGCTGAGTGGCCAACAAAAGATTTAAAAATAGCAAATAAAGAAATTGCTTCATTAAGGACAAAAGAATCACCATTTTTGTTAGTCTAAAAATAAGCAAATTGTATTTGTAATTTTATTGATATCCTTCCATTAAATTCAGTTCTATCTAAAACGACTTAAAATTTAGGCTCACTTTAGTCAGTTTTTCAATTTTGTTGGCTTTTTTACATTATAAGTAGTTCAAATGCATTAATACACCGTATTTTGCCGTTTATAACGTAAAAAATCTTCAATTTTTTAAGTGCAATGGTTGATAAATTCGATTTTGTAAAGATCGCCGATGAAACTGAACGAGCTAATGAAGTGTTAATCAATTGATATTCACCAGGGTTCAAGGAAAAATCGGAAATCTGTTGCCCTATGGATTACTTACATGGGCCTTTGATACCCATAAGTTTAAAATATTAATGCAACTGAAAGAAAATGTGAATATTTTGAAGAATACATTTGAAAAAGTAATTAGGCTTATCCAAGACAGCAACGAGAACTGAGGCCGACCTTGAAGCCTGGAAGAGCAATTTAATGTAGCAAATCTATTGTAAGTGTTGATTTATTATGAAAATTACTTTGATAAAGGCCTAAAAAAGGATTTTCTGAGATTGGCTAGCTGAACCAATTCAGCTCCAATTGTTTGAAAAGTTTGAGCGTTTTCCGTTCTTTCATTAACCATGAAAAACAGGCACACCTTTATAAATTTTTTCAATATCTGGATTTCTAGATTGATAATTTCGGCATTAAAAAACATACATATTTTAAAAATATCGAGACAAGTTTGCCTGTTCAGTACAAAATTACTGTAGTCATAGTGCAAGTAGGTGGTTGGATAAAATTGCAGGCTGACAATTTCAATCTGTTCTTAGGCTGTATTTCATACAAAAAAACACATGGATTCTGTTTACAAATTTTTGTATAAATTCATATAAAATCATCATTGTTTCTTGCTGTTAAAACATTGTTTCTTGCTGTTGATAACATCAAGCGTTTTGAAAACGCGCGACTTCTGGATCAGCAGGTTCGCCTTCCCTCAAGGGATAGAGCTCCGAACCCCATTCTGTTCCATTGTTACCAGATGTACCATTTACAGGAAGCTCTGTAAAAGTTCCATTAGTATTGGTGTTTCTGTCCTCATTTGCGCCTTCTTGTGCAGTAGTTCGATTGCAGTTGCAATGGTTTATTGGACGAGGAGGTGGAGGAGGAAAGGAACCAAAATGATGATGTGGGTGTCCGAAACCTGGAGGGCCGAATGGTGGAGGAGGAGGAGGCGGCGGATAAAAAGGCATAGGATAAAATCCATCGTATGGGTTAGGCAAATGTTGAAACTGATTTACTCTGCGTCCATCGTCTCCATCAGTGGCTGAAGGAAACATACCAGTTTAATTGCGATTTACTGTCTAAGTATCTGCTTACCGTTTTCAATTGAGTTTCCATTTCTAGCTATTCTGATGAGAAGGCTTTCTTGTGATGATGCTGGAATCTGATATTACACCCAAATTAAACTAGGTGGTGTTTTCTTTTTTGAAAAACGATTTTTGAAAAAAATATTACGACTTGGATTTATACATATGGAGTCATGGAATCAGTACAAAGGTGGTTTGATTTATCGTTGAATAACCAGAAAGTTATCCAGAAGAGAATAACGAAAAATTCTCAAGAAATAGCTTAAGCCAGAAGATAAGATAGACAACAAGTGAAACATATTTAATTTTTTTTGTAATGGACTTAATAAACGTTTAAGTTGTATTTGTTTTTCTTGCCTCACCTTTGAGTAAATCAGCAGCCCAATGAAAAATTGGGAAAATATTAAACTGCGCATTTTGAACGTTTTACACTGTATTCGAGCGCATCTAATCACTTTTTTATTATGTCCGAAATAAAGCAAATCTGACTTCTTATAGCATTGGTTGACCCTAGAGCTTATATAATATAAACAATGTCAACCCGATATGAATTCACAACGCAATAATTTATTATCCAGTACTGAATGGTTTAGGAATTTCCAAAATATCGTTTTATCGACTTGTGATAGTTTTGCCATTTCAAATTTTGCTGTTGAAATAAAAAAGTATATAAATAAAACAACTTGATACCGATAATCGAATCGAACATAATATTTTGAAAAAACAACTTACATTTAAACGCATTATTAATTTATTCAATAACATGCAAAGAGAGACACTAGTGTTCTTCAAATTTCAATATAAACATTTGCTAGCCAGAAATGGTCTCATTGCAGTTTGGGCAAAAATCGAATGGGGCTTTGCATCTTTGTATAGTTCTTTGATTACAAGTGTTATCGGTAGGTGCAAGTGGATGAGGATCAGGCGGAAAGTCATCATAATAACCTGGCGGTCCTTAACCAGGAGGGCCAAATGGTGGTGAAGGTGGTGCAGGAGCTGGAGGACGAGGTGTAGGAAAATATATCAAAATATAAGGAATGTGTATCCATCGTTAGGGCTGGTAGGAAATTGAAAATCCATTCCTCTGCGTCCATCATCTCCTTTAGCTACTGGAAGAAATATACATGTTTTAGTACGAGCTTGCTTACTATTACCAATTGAATTTACATTCCTACCTATCCAGACGACTTTGATGCTGGAATCTGATATTTTACAAAAATGTATCTAAATGGTGTTTTTTGCTTCAGAAACCTTGTTTCTATGAATGGCAAAAAAAATGTTGCGCTTCGGCTGCGTGAATGAGAAAACATCCAAGTTGCAGGAAACTATTATATTTGATGTAAATTTAATTTGTATTGATTTTTATACTAGTCTCACCTTTCAGAAAATCATTAAACAAAAGTATAACCAGGCAAATGCGAAACTGTGCATTTTAAAGCTTTTCAATCTATTCTATAGCATTTAATCACGTTGTGTCTGCAATGCAGCGAATTTCGGACTTTTAATAGTATTAGTTTACCCTAAGTTGTACAAAGAGTCGTTACATAGTATAATTTTACTGTAAAAATCGAGTTCTTCTGATCAATTAATACCGAAATGATGCAAAAATCGAATGTTAATTTTTTTCGATTAAACCTTGATTGAAACTATGGTGTTGAAACCTGAGCATTGAAAATATTACTTTTGTGGCAAATACTCATGATGACCGAAAAATGCAATGATTTTATGATATTCATTTAAGCAAGCAACAGATTTTAATATCGATGGGTAATTAATATATACAAATTCCTACCATCTCACATAAACCAAACGTAAAACCGCGAACAGACACCTGGTGGTTTCTAAGATATCATCGCGTGTATTTCATCTAATCCATATTTGCTCAGATAAGGATTTTAGAATATTTTTCACGATTCATATCAGTTAAAACACACATTTTTCTGTCTGTGGACACATTGCAGCCGTTTTTTATTGAGTTAAAAGAGTGTGCAAAGAAACATGTTACAATTTGTGAAAGACACGTGGTAAGTAGTCGCCAAACCTACCGATAGGTTGATAATATTTCAATTATTATTAATGAACAAAGGTTATTGCGCATAATAAATTAAATAATATGGTAGAACTAGACAGCAAACTTTTCAAAGAGAATGCCACATATTTTTCATTTAATTAATTTTAATTAAAGCTTGGTGAAAAAACAGAATTTACATTGTTCAGTTTTTTATCAGTGATCTAACTTCTAACAAATTTACACTTTATTGGCGGGATTTCAGCACCCCAGCAGAGTTCAAACTGTTATTAAATAAGAGCCATCACTTAAGTGGTTTTTTAGCTTTAAAAAAGCTTGAAAAATTATTTATTACAGTCTATTTTCAAATTTATGGTTTAAATTATTTAGCAGAACAAATTCTATATTCTGTTCTTATTCTCAACTTTTGCCTTAAGGCACTTTTTCTCGCCAAACGTTTTCCAGATACGCTTTTCTGCAGGTAAAATCCACTGACAATAAATTGTCTTCTTAAGAACTTATGGGTTATTTTAGTTGCGTTATTTTATCTTTTTCATAGTGAATGTTGCTCGGTTAAATTATTACAAAATTATTTAAAAAATCATCATCGTTTCTCAAACTATCCGTACAGTAACGTTTTCTGCAGTCATTATTTAAAAATTAAGTGACACTTTTATCGGAACAGCTATTTATATTTCTTTGAAAATCAATAGGTATGATGCGCGAGTTAATTTTACATCATACGTACAATTAAAATATGCCCTTTTCTTTAAAATAAAATTGAAAAAAATGGCTTTTGAAGGACTAGACATTTTTTAATTTTACTTCTGGCCGAAACATTTGTGCCATTTTTATCTGTTTTGTAAGACTGTTTGAACCTTTTTCGCAAATAATGAGAGATTTTTTGTATTTGTGTTTTTTCTTTCACAATTTTTTTTACGGCAAATTTTTTTCGAACCTGTTTTATTATGAGCTTTGGATCAGCCACAACCATGTTTAAAGATTTTAATGGCCAACATCTACTAGACTGTGCTTAAATTGCTTGTTATCTCAAATGCGTGCGTATGTTTAAAATAAAATCGCTGCCATGTGGGCAACTAAGAAATGATTTGCAGTTGAAAACCCAGCTGTAGACGAGTATTATTCTTCTGAAGGATTTGTACCCCAATATATACAATTAAACGCTCAAAAATTAACATCGGCCTGCCATTTGGTGCGGTATCTGGTCCGGTTCGAAGGACCAAAATGTTTAATTTGCTCGGTGGTCCAAATATAGTTGTACCCCTCAGAACAGCATAGTATCTGTTTATGACAAACTTCCTTAGCCTATGAAATGATATAATTTCAACAGATTGAGTGTGTAGTTTAACATATACCTACGAATTGCATATAGTTTTCTTAATTGTCTTCTTATGTTACTTTCAAGCATGCGATAAAGGAGGATATTAATAATTGATTCATATCCTACAATTTCCATTTCCAGATAAGCAATGTTAATGCTGCTACTTTAAAGCCAATCACTATTAATCTAAATTGAATAATCGTCCAATAAAAACTCGTTTGGCTATCAAATGAACATACGTTTGCATTGAGGTGCTGTTGTGTTTAGGTGCAGCGGATTAATGTTCATCAAAACTCAAAAATTGATGCTCAAGCTGTTGTGTTGAAACTATTTGAGGTCGTGATGTTACAACCCAGGTTGAGTACAAAATATAATAAATTACATTGCGACAGCAATTTTTTAGCACGCTAATGAATTTTGCGGTTTGTACAATCATAAAATGTTTTTTTTACCAAATTCTGATTAACCGATTAATTTTTGATTGACAATTCTGACAATCTAATTGAAAATTTCTTTGGGGTCAATTTGTAAGTTTCAAATTGCTGGTAATCTGACTAACCATTAAATTTTGAATATTATTTTTATTATTTCTTCGATTTGAGAGAAGACTATTATTAAACTCTAGTCAATAGCTTTAACGAATACCCAACTTAGCATATTTTTTGTAAGGAAACTACTTGGCATTAGACTGTATTATTTAATTAGACAATTGCTCCAAAAACATTCCAAGACGTTCAACGCTGTACGTTTCCGGGTTTAGCCACTTGTGGTTACGTAAAAAACCATCAAAGTGATAATAATTCAGCAATTATCAATTTGAGTCAATGCAAACACGTAGCGACAATTTGCCAAAATTTGCGAAAAACGTCCAGAAAATAGCTAATGTAAATGATGAAGGAAATGGACTTGATGCAGTTGTTAAGTCGTTAGGAAAAAGCTGGGTGAGGGTCAACACAATAGATTAATACGATGTTCAAATAAGTGTTAGCACAATTGGTTAGTGTCGCTTGTAGTGTCGATTTGAATATGGCCGGTGTGGGTTTTAAAATGATTGTAAGTGACGACGTAAGCAATTGGTGTTGAGATTTAATTTTATTGAGCCAATTCTGCTGTGAGACAGTGCGACTGCTTTAGTCGTTCTTTAATCCCATCAAGTATTATGAAGTAAAACTAATGTAACTGTAGTCAACATCAAAGTGAATGGTTGCAATGTTAGTGTTCTGCTAACTTGAAGATTCCTTTCAGCTAACATGATATTTACCATCACTGAAAGGAACCGAGTCTCAAGCCATGGCAAAGACAATCCATCGACAGGACAACATCCAAGAAGAGGGCACACCGATGGTGAACAATAATAATTCGAAATGGATTTCGTCCAGATTTCGGATCGGTTCCAGTACTCCAGATTTGCCAGCTTTCGGCGAAATCAATCCAAATGCTCCGGATGAAAACCCCTTTGAATTTGGTCAAAGATTAGCTAAGGTCGGAACTGAAGCAAGCCTGGCCAAAGCGTCAACCTGCGATGGCTCTTTGTATAACGGAATTCAGCGAACAGATGAATCAAGGTGAGGAAATTGATTTTTTGCTCTGTTGGATTATATTGATCGACTTCTTCTGCTTAAAAACAATGAGGCATTTGATTAGGTATAAAAAAAATTTGGTTGAGTAAAAGAATAGTTAAGCGAAGATTAAGGGGTGAATTCTGAAAAAGTGTGAGTGGAAACAGGAATATTTTTCTGCTCCCTCACATCCAACCGATTTCTCGAATCTAGGAATATGGACTCAATCTAATGGGAAAAATATTCAAATTTGGTTTGCAACGTTTTATGTAAGTATATTGATTAATTTTCCAGTATATAGTAAGCTCTTAGATGTCTACCTTGAACTTTGAACTTGAACGAAAGAAGGTTTTGGAAATTTTTTCGGGGTTTCCTTCCAAATCCTTCTACAATAATTATTGTTAGGTTTTCCCTAATCAAAAATAGAGCAGGCATGTCGATTTACAGGAAATACATTTAACGGGGTGAACGGGATTTATACATACACCGCTCTGGAAAAAAACAAAAAAAAATGGTCAGTCAGTATAAAAAATTAAATAGCAGTATCAAATACTTTCATTTAAAAACTTACGTTTCTTTTTGAATCAATTAGTCTT